AACACATAGTTCAATTAGAATTTCTAATGATAATGTTAAATCAAGACTATGACGAGAAAATAAACTCTAAATTATATATTTTTAAAGGTGGACGTTCATACTCGAATTTTCTGATTGATAGAAAATATTTCTCATATTTTAGACTTTATTAATAGAATACAAGACGTAATTAGAATATATTTGAAATTATTGATATAATCTTTTGTCTATATGAGGTAAGATATTTTGTATATATTATATATCAAACCTAAGTCAGAGAAACACTAGACTTTTTTGTTTGATGAAATTAATAATTTTGCAATGAATTTGTCTTTCTCTTAACTTAGATTTCTGTATAATAAAGTTTAAAATTCTTTTGATAACCTTTTTTTTCTACACTTATTAACTTTTAATGGTAATTTTGTATTACTTTGAATTAATGTTAATATAGTATCATAAATCACATGTACCTAATCGTTCAATAAATTTGAACTTGTATCTAATGTTGAACGTGTGTGCATATATTGATCATTGATAAAAAAAGAACAGGTAAAATCTACTTTCTTTTTCGATCTTGTTACCATTGTGTTGCATTTCTTTCTAATTTTTTTCTTTTATTAAATTATTTGTTGTATGTTCATGTTCATCAGTAGATTGATTTGTGGTGGATTAATTGAACGCTAAAAATGAAACCTATATTTCTTGAAATTGTATTATTGATAATCAACCAACTCCAAAATTGTCTTGATATACGTATACATGAATTAAATATTGGTAAACAAAATAATAATAATATAGCTATACAACGTAGATCATGCCAATAAATATATGATATATATATGTATATTTAATTTTTCTTGTTAAATAATAAAGATGACCAAAATCATTAAATGATAAAAGTAACAATTGTATAAATGATCTATTATATGGTTCAATTAAATTTAAATATGATTATAATAATTGATTTATTTATTTGATACAGTTAAACTATGTCGTTGATAAAGATATTCCAATATTAATAGTAGTGTTTTCGATAATGTACAACACGATATTATTTGATCTGTTTCACAACTAAGAAATGATTTTTTTGTTGAAATATATTAATATAAATTGTTTCTGATATAAATATTATAAAACGTAATAAATCACGTATACCATCTGTTGAAAATTGACATGTTAATTCAACATGATTTTGTATTCTATCAAAATACATTGATATAGAATCTATTAATGCAATTGAATTTCGCGGAGTCCAGGAATTCAAACCTATAAAAATTTTGTCAAAATTCTCTAATGCAACTTTATCGATCGAGAAAGACTTCGTGATGTTTTATAAAACTCAGCAGCTGTTTTGAAATAGACTTCCTTCCATCAAAAGAACTTGAAATGAATATAAGATGAACATCATTGTTGCATCCACAGTCATCAGTTCATGATATTTGTTTAGAAGAATGTTTCATAAACTTGAAATTTCTGATTTCTAAAAATTATTTTGGGTTGAAAATAACACAATTGAAAACATCGTACGAGATATCTTTAAAACTATTTATGATTATTTTCTTCATTAGTCATTTCATAATATTAGAAAGACGTCGTTTTCTTTAGTTGTAACAGTACACACAGCACGACTCAGCATTTAAGGGATGAGATCCAAGACGAATACTTCGGTCATTGTACTAATGTAACTTAAATGCTTTCCTTTACAATTCCTGAAATTCTGCATTATTTCTTTCTTACCTATGTAATTAAAACTCGTTCTTCTTTATATGTAAGTACAGTAGACCGACTAGTTTTATAATTCAAAATATTTTTCGAAATTTTGAATTATTCAAAACTCTCATCTATTACTAGCACATGAACAATGTCAAAGTAAAACAAAGATTTTTCCTTTAATTGAATTAAAATATTCATTATGCATATTCATTTCGATAAATTAAATCTAAAACATACTGGTGTCATCATATATGGTAATTAAGTATAAAATCTTCATCATGACAATTAAGATTATTAAAATCTTAAATAATATCGATTGATATTGCTGTTGATAATATTTGTAAAATTAATGGTAAATATTTATGTAATAATTATTTATTTAATGTTTGTTGGTCAAGCGTTAACATCATTTCAATATGATCATAAACAATTAATTCAGCTAAATGTAATACAGATATATATATGGTAATGAAAGACATTGTTCACTTAATAAAACTAATAAAAGATCACTTTTATCTAAATGTATTCCTTCGCAAACGAATCAATGACTTACAACTGATGTACGATGTATCAGACCAAATAAATTATATAGATGTATACATGAATCACTTTGTTCAAATAAAAAATAATCATTGATGATGTGCTATTAATGATGATGGTGTTAGTATTGATGACCACCGTGCCTCTTATGTATAATCATGTATATTCAGAATTTATGTCCATTGTAATAATCATCGTATATAATAATGATAATAATAATTTTAAATTCTCACTTAAAACAGTTAAATATGAAAATGCATCAAGACGATGTACAGTTTCATCATGAATTCATAATGGACGAAAATTATTTACAATTGTTCGAAAGTGTTTAACTAAAATAAAATTATACATCTTATAACAGCATAGGAATTTTACAGTCAAATGTTTTTCGCCAGATCATTAGTAATTAATGAATTGCAGGAAAGTTTTATCTTCAAATTAATGAGTGATATGTTACTATCGTATCGATTATGATGAAAGCTTAAGCTCTTTTGACTTTGATAGAAACCATTTTTTATCTGTTCAGTTAGTTTCTTCTTCCTAAATTTTCAAACCGAAATTTTTAAATCAATCATTTCGGTGCTCGTTACAAAGATGACGACTTTATTGTTTCGATTGATTACCATTTTCCATAATATACATAAATAAATAGCGATAATCGGATGCAAGAGAAACTAATATCATATCCATTTGACCGCGTAATTGTCGAGTATTAGTTAAAATTTGTAATATAACATCATGTAAAATATGAAGAAGAGCCCTGAAAACAAAAATGAGAATAATAGTTTTTAACTTACAAATAAAATCATTTTTGAATACTTACACACTAAACATTTCATCTCGTGTTAAATTAACTGATGATACAACATAATTCCATTGTGTTAATTTAGCTTCTTCAGTTGAATTTTGTACAAGCCATCGAAGTATCATATTTATATTCATTAACCATCGATTTATAGTTTGACGATGGATATCCTAAAAATAAAATTTTAAACTACAGGAAAATTTTATAAATAAAAAAACAACGAACATTTCCATTTGCTAATGTCCTCGAAAAGCTACAACAAATGGATCACTTGGTGGCAATTCAACTAACGATACAACATTAAATAGTGTTAATTGCGTAGAATAAATATCCAAAAGTGATTGACCCTATTTGAAAAAACAGTAATGTAAAATCGGAGATTATTAAAAAAAGAAAATAACCTTAGATGAACCAATAGTAACATATGATTGTAAATGAACAAGAAGTTCATCGATAGTTTGCCATGAAACACGTTTTTATTTATCATCTTCATTTCGAACACTATNTATACAAAATCCTAGGAAAACAAAAAAAGAACAGATTTATATTGTTTCTTATTTTCTCAAATCAATTTTCATCTACTATAAGAATCATTCTAAAAATTTTATGCTATGAAAAAAACCCAATAGGCTCGCTTCGAGAAAGACTTCCTTCTATGAAAAAAACTTGAAATGAATATAAGATGAGCATCACTGTTGCATTCACAGTCATCGGTTCATGATATTTGTTTAGAAGAATGTTTCATCAACTTGAAATTTCTGATTTCTAAAAATTATTTTGAGTTGAAAATAACACAATCGAAAACATCTTACGATATATCTTTACAACTATTTATGATTATTTTCTTCATTAGTAATTTCATAATATTAGAAAGACGTCGTTTTCTTTAGTTGTAACAGTACACATAGCACGACTCAGCATTTGACAGATGAGATCCAAGACGAATACTTCGGTCATTGTACTAATGTAACTTAAATGCTTTCCTTTACGATTCCTGAAATTCTGCATTTTTTCTTTCTTACCTATGTAATTAAAACTCGTTCTTCTTTCTATGTAAGTACAGTAGACCGACTAGTTTTATAATTCAAGATATTTTTCGAAATTTTCAATTATTCAAAAATCTCATCTATTACTAACACATAAACAATGTCAAAGTAAAACAAGCATTTTTCTTTTAATTGGATTGAAATTTTTATTATTCATACATATATATATATATATATTTATATTTATTTCGATAAATTAAACTAAAACATACCAGTGACATGATAAATGGTAATCATTTTTTATGAGTTACATTTTTAAGCATTTTTGCATGAATTTTTGGTGTTATATCCATAGGATAATTAAGATTATTAAAATCTTCTTTAATAATATCGATTGATATTGTTATTGATAATATTTATAAAATTAATGGTAAATATTTAGGTAATAATTGTTTATTTAATGTTTGTTGGTCAAGTGTTAACATCGTTTCAATACGATCATAAACAATTAATTCAGTTAAACGTAATACAGATATATACTGTAATGGAAGAAATTGTTCAATTAATAAAACTAATACAAGACCATTTTCATCTAAATGTATTTCTTTACAAACAAATAAATGACTCGCAACTGATGTACGATGTATAAGACCAAATAAATTATGTAGATATGTACATGTATCACTTTGTTCAAATAAAAAATACTAATAGTAATTGATAATGTGTTATTATTGATATTAAATGTTCAACATATAATTCCTGACATATTAAATCACAATAAGATTGTAATTAACCACTTATAGATAAGTGTGTTATTAAGGATGACCATGCTTCTTGTGTATAATCAAGCATATGCCAGAATATGTGCTCATGGTAATAATAATGGTATATAAAACGATGATAATAATAATTGAAAATATTCATTTAAAATAGTTAAATATGAAAATGTATCAAGATAATGTACAGTTTCATCATGAATTTATACATGACGAAAATTATTTACAATTGTTCGAAATTGTTTAGCTAAAAAATCAAATTATAGATCTTATAAAAACATAGGAATTTTTGAAGTCAAATGTATTTCGCTAGATCATTAGTAATTAATGAATTGTAAGAAAGTTTTATCTTCAAATGAATGGGTGATATGTTACTATCGTATCGATTATGATGAAAGCTCGAGCTCTTTTAACTTTGATAGAAACCAATTTTTATCTGTTGAGTTAGTTTCTTCCTCAAGTTTCAAACTGAAATTTTTAAATCAATCATTCTAGTTTTCGTTACAAAGATGATGACTTCAACTAAAAATGATGTTCCTATTGCTGAACTATCATATCCATGTCTACAAATGCACTATTATTTTGATTGATTACCATTTTCCACAATATGCATAAGTACATAAAAATAATCGAATGCAAGAGAAACTAATGTCATATCGATTTGACCACGTCATTGACGAGTATTAGTTAAAATTTATAATATTACGTCATGTAAAATATGAAGAACTCTGAAAACAAAAAATGTGAATAATAGTTTTTAAATTATAAATAAAATTATTTCGAATACGTTACGCACTAAACGTTTCATCTCGTGTTCCATTAACTGATGATAAAACATCATTCTATCGTGTTAATATAGCATCTTCAGTTAAATTTTTATACAAGACATCGAAGTATTATATTTATATTGATTAACTATCGATTTGTAGATTGGCAATTGACATTCTAAAAAAAAAATTTTAAACACCAGGCAAATTTTATAAATAAAAACAACGAACATTTCTATTTACTAAATGCTCGAAAAGCAATAACAAATGGATCAATTGGTCGTAATTCAACTGATGATACAGCATCAAATAGTACTTAATTGTGTGGAATAAATATCCAAAAGTGATTGATCCTATTTAAACAAAAAAAAAAGTAGCGTATAATCGAAGATTATTAAAAAAGAAAAATAACCTTAGATAAACCAATAGTAACATATGATTGTAAATGAACAAGAAGCACATCGACAATTTGCCGTGAAAGATGTTTCCATTTATCATCTTCATTTCGAACACTATTAACAATAATTGTTAACAATCGTAAAGCCTATAACAATATAAATTCTATTATTGTTTTTTTCAATACATACACATGACATGAAAAGATACTTTTATCTGTAATAATTAAAACGCCTAGTTTTCCTTCAAACTTTTTATTGAGGTATTTTGTATCAAATACATATCTTAAATATTGCTATCTCCAAATATTGTCGAGTTCTCAGCATCAACAATATGGTTATTTTCATATCATTGATTCGTTGAAGTGTGGGTGTGGATGTGGGTTCAATCGAGGAGAAAAATTATACCTATACATCCACACTCACACCCTTTCGAGTTTTTATGATATTTGAGACGTTATAGAAGGACACATTTTCTTCACTCTCATTTAATAAAACGTTTTAGGAATTTTAATTATTCGCATAATGACTATTTCTTATATCGAACAAGTTTAAGAAAGGTGTGAACAATTACTATTCGTTGTACTTCTAATTCTGTATTATCTGTGTTAACTCGAACAAGAAAAAGATCATATACAACTGGTTCTAATGTTGCTAAAGCTAAATAAAGAATTTTAACGATAATTTATTTTTCTCGAAAATGTTTTTTTTTTCTACTTCCTACCATGTATTTCAGGTTCATGTCCCCACTTGCTAATAATGAATTATCATGGTTTATTAAATCTTGTGCTTTAATAACTTGTTTTTAATGTAGTGTATCATATGATAACATAACAAGAAATTCAGTAATGCAATAAATAAAATGTGATAATACATCATAATCTGCTGTAACTTTCTTCAATCATTTCAAGTTCATAGATTATATAAGTAAGATAATGCTAAATGAAACTATTAGAAATACAAGAGCATTGTGAAGAAACGTTTGAAGATTTTCTTTCAGCAGACGATGATGAAACGATGGCTAATTCATGAAGATTTAATAAAAACTGAATAAAAAGAATATTTTTAAATGAATGTTGTGGTAACAGAAAAATTGGTTTTCAAACTTTTTTGCTGTTTCTATCCTAAGATACAATTTTGGTAATAGTGTGTCTTACAGATCGCTCACGTGAACTAGGTGATTTAATATTCGGATTTCAANAATGTTGTTTGCTTACTCATGAGTAATTAATGAATTGCAGGAAAGTTTTATCTTCAAATTAATGGGTGATATGTTACTATCATATAGATTATGATGAAAGCTTAAGGTCTATTGACTTTGATAGAAACCATTTTTTATCTGTTCAATTAGTTTCTTCTTCCTAAAGTTTCAAACCGAAATTTTTAAATCAATCATTTCGGTGCTCGTTACAAAGATGATGACTTCAACTAAAAATGACGTTCCTATTTCTGGACTATTATATTCATGTCTACAAATACACTATTGTTTCGATTGATTACCATTTTCCATAATATACATAAATAAATAGCGATAATCGGATGCAAGAGAAGCTAATATCATATCGATTTGACCGCGTAATTGTCAAGTATTAGTTAAAATTTGTAATATTACGTCATGTAAAATTCGAACAAGAGCTCTAAAAACAAAAACGAGAATAATATTTTTTAAATTATAAATAAAATCATTTCGAATACTTACGCACTAAACGTTTCGTCTCGTGTTCCATTAACCGATCATTAAGTATCATTCCATCGTGTGAATATAGCATTTTCATTTGAATTTTGTACAAGACATCGATGTATCATATTTATTTTCATTAACCATCGATTTATAGTTTGACGATTGATATCCTAAAAACAAAATTTTAAACTACAGGAAAATTTTATAAATAAAAAACAACGAACATTTCTATTTACTAATGCTCGAAAAGCAACAACAAATGGATCATTTGGTGGCAATTCAACTAACGATACAACATTAAAAAGTGTTAATTGCATAGAAGAAATATCCAAAAATGATTGACCCTATTTGAAAAGAAAAAAGTAACGTATAATCGAACATCATTAAAAAAGAAAAATAATCTTAGATGAACCAATAGTAACATGTGGTTATAAATGCACAAGAAGCACATCGACAATTTGCCATGAAACACGTTTTCATTTATCATCTTCATTTCGAACACTATTAACAATCGTAGTCTATCTATGATATCTGCAACCTTATAGAGAGACACCTTTTGTTCACAATCATTTAATAAAAACTTTTTACAAATTTTCATTTTTCATATAGCAACTATTTCTTATAATATCACATTACTTTATTATATCGAATACATTTATATAATGCTTGAATAATAACCATTCGTTGTGCTTCTAATACTTAATTATTTGTTTTAAATCAAACTTTATTTTTCTCGAAAATGTTCTGTTTTGCTTCCTCCCATGTGTTTCAGGTTCATGTNGTCATATCCATAGGACAATTAAGATTATTAAAATCTTCTTTAATAATATCGATTGATATTGTTATTGATAATAATTATAAAATTAATGGTAAATATTTAGATAATAATTGTTTATTTAATGTTTGTTGATCAAGTATTAACATCATTTCCATACAACGACAAACAATTAATTCAGCTCAACGTAATACAGATATAGTTAGATTATGATGAAAGCTCAAGCTCTTTTGACTTTGATAGAAACTATTTTTTATCTGTTCAATTAGTTTCTTCTTCCTAAAGTTTCAAACCGAAATTTTTAAATCAATCATTTCGGTGCTCGTTACAAAGATGACGACTTCATTGTTTCGATTGATTACCATTTTCCATAATATACATAAATAAATAGCGATAATCGGATGCAAGAGTAACTAATATCATATCCATTGGACCGCATAATTGTCGAGTATTAGTTAAAATTTGTAATACAACATCATGTAAAATATGAAGAAGAGCCCTGAAAATAAAAATGAAAATAATAGTTTTTAAATTATAAATAAAATCATTTCGAATACTTACACACTAAACATTTCATCTCGTGTTAAAATAACTGATGCTACAACATCATTCCATTGTATTAATTTAGCGTCTTCAGTTAAATTTTGTACAAGACATCGAAGTATCATATTTATATTCATTAACCATCGATTTCTAGTTTGACGATTGATATCCTAAAAACAAAATTTTAAACTACAGGAAAATTTCATAAATAAAAAATAACGAACATTTTCATTTACTAATGCTCGAAAAGCAACAACAAATGGATCAATTGGTCGTAATTCAACTAACGATACAACATCAAATAGTGTTAATTGTGTAGAATAAATATCCAAAAGTGATTTACCTTATTTGAAAAACAGTAATGTAAAATCGGAGATTATTAAAAAAAGAAAAATAACCTTAGATGAACCAATAGTAACATATGATTGTAAATGAACAAGAAGTACATCGATAATTTGTCATGAAACACGTTTTCATTTATCATCTTCATTTCGAACACTATTAATAATCGTACAGTCTACCTATGATATCTGAAACCTTATAGAGAGACACCTTTTGTTCACAATCATTTAATAAAACTTTTTAGAAAATTTCATTTTTCATATAGCAACTATTTCTTATAATATCACATTACTTTATTATATCGAATACGTTTAAATAATGCTTGAATAATAACCATTCGTTGTGTTTCTAATTCTTAATTATTTGTTTTAAATCAAACTTTATTTTTCTCGAGAATGTTTTTTTTTGCTTCCTACCATGTGTTTCAGATTCATGTTAACTTGCTAATAATATGAATCATAATGTTTTATTAAATCTTGTACTTTAATAATTTGATTTGAATGAAGTGTATCATGTGATAATAAATCATAACCTGNGAATTTATGTCCATTTTAATAATAATGATATATAAATTGATGATAATAATTGACATAAATCATTTACAATTGTTCGAAATTGTTTAACTAAAATAAAATTATAGATCCTATAAAAGCATACGCATTTTAAAGTCAAAGGTTTTTCGCCAGATCATTAGTAATTAATGAATTTCAGGAAAGTTTTATCTTCAAATTAATGGTTGATATAATATTATCATATCGATTATGATTCAACTAAAAAAATGATGTTCCTATTACTGGACTATTATATTCATGTTTACAAATACACTATTGTTTGGATTGATTACCATTTTTCATAATATACATAAATAAATAGCGATAATCGGATGCAAGAGAAACTAATATCATATCCATTTGACCGCGTGATTGTCGAGTATTAGTTAAAATTTGTAATACAACATCATGTAAAATATGAAGAAAAGCTCTGAAAACAAAAATGAAAATAATAGTTTTTAAATTATAAATAATATCATTTCGAACACTTACACACTAAACATTTCATCTCGTGTTAAATTAACTGATGAAACAACATCATTCCATTGTGTTAATTTAGCGTCTTCAGTTAAATTTTGTACAAGACATCGAAGTATCATATTTTTATTCATTAACCATCGATTTATAGTTTGACGATTGATACCCTAAAAACAAAATTTTAAACTACAGGAAAATTTCATAAATAAAAAACAACGAACATTTCTATTTGCTAATGCTCGAAAAGCAACAACAAATGGATCATTTGGCCGTAATTCAACTAACGAGACAACATTAAATAGTGTTAATTGCAGGAAATGAATATTCAAAAGTGATTGACCCTATTTGAAAAACAAATAACGTAAAATTGGAGATTATTACAAAAAAGAAAAATAACCTTAGATAAACCAATAGTAACATATGATTGTAAATGAACAAGAAGTACATCGATAATTTGCCATGAAACACGTTTTCATTTATCATCTCCATTTCGAAAACTATTAACAATCGTACAGTCTATCTATGATATCTGAAACCTTATAGAGAGACACCTTTTGTTCACAATAATTTAATAAAAACTTTTAGGAATTTTCATTTTTCGTATAGCAACTATTTCTATTTAATATCACATTACTTTATTATATGGAACACATTTAAATAATGTTTGAATAATAACCATTCGTTGTGCTTCTAATTCTTAATTATTTGTTTTAAATCAAACTTTATTTTTCTCGAAAATGTTCTGTTTTGCTTCTCTCCCATGTGTTTCAGGTTCATGTTCACTTGCAAATAATATGAATCATAATGTTTTATTAAATCTTGTACTTAAATAATTTGTTGTGAATGAAGTGTATCATGTGATAATACATCATAANATTGTTCAATTAATAAAACTAATAAAAGATCACTTTTATCTAAATGTATTCCTTCGCAAACGAATCAATGACTTGCAACTGATGTACGATATATCAGACCAAATAAATTATATAGATGTGTACATGTATCACTTTGTTCAAATAAAAAATACTCATTGATGATGTGTTATTAATGATGATGGTGTTAGTATTGATGACCACCATGCTTCTTATGTATAATCAAGTATATTCAGAATTTATGTCCATTGTAATAATCATCGTATATAATAATGATAATAATAATTTAAAATTCTCACTTAAAACAGTTAAATATGAAAATGCATCAAGACGATGTACAGTTTCATCATGAATTCATAATTGACGAAAATCATTTACAATTGTTCGAAAGTGTTTAACTAAAATAAAATTATAGATCTTATAAAAGCATAGGGATTTTCAAGTCACATGTTTTTCGTCAGATCATTAGTAATTAATGAATTGCAGGAAAGTTTTATCTTCAAATTAATGGGTGATATGTTACTATCGTATCGATTATGATGAAAGCTTAAGCTCTTTTGACTTTGATAGAAACCAGTTTTTATCTGTTCAGTTGGTAATTGTCGAGTATTAGTTAAAATTTGTAATACAGCATCATGTAAAATATGAAGAAGAGCTCTGAAAATAAAAATGAAAATACTAGTTTTTAAATTATAAATAAAATCATTTCGAATACTTACACACTAAACATTTCATCTCGTGTTAAATTAACTGATGATACAACATCATTCCATTGTGTCAATTTAGCGTCTTCAGTTAAATTTTGTACAAGACATCGAAGTATCATATTTATATTCATTAACCATCGATTTATAGTTTGACGATTGATATCCTAAAAACAAAATTTTAAACTACAGGAAAATTTCATAAATAAAAAATGACGAACATTTCCATTTGCTAATGTCATCGAAAAACAACAACAAATGGATCAATTGGTCGTAATTCAACTAACGATACAACATTAAATAGTGTTAATTGTGTAGAATAAATATCCAAAAGTGATTGACCCTATTTGAAAAAACACTAATGTAAAATCGGAGATTATTAAAAAAAGAAAAATAACCTTAGATGAACCAATAGTAACATATGATTGTAAATGAACAAGAAGCACATTGACAATATGTCGTGAAAGACGTTTCCATTTATCATCTTCATTTCGAACACTATTAACAATCGTACAGTCTATCTATGATATCTGAAACCTTATAGAGAGAAACCTTTTGTTCACAATCATTTAATAAAAACTTTTAGGAATTTTCATTTTTCGTATAGCAACCATTTCTTATAATATCACATTGCTTTATTATATCGAATACATTTAAATAATATTTGAATAATAACCATTCGTTGTGCTTCTAATTCTTAATTATTTGTTTTAAATCAAACTTTATTTTTCTCGAAAATGTTCTGTTTTGCTTCTCTCCCATGTGTTTCAGGTTCATGTTCACTTGCAAATAATATGAATTATAATGTTTTATTAAATCTTGTACTTTAATAATTTGTTGTGAATGAAGTGTATCATGTGATAATACATCATAACCTGCTATAGTTTCTTCAATTATTTCAAGTTGATTGATTAGATGAGTAAGAAAATACTATTTAAAAATAAACGAAACGATTAGAAATATAACNATATCATATTCATTTGACCGCATAATTGTCGAGTATTAGTTAAAATTTGTAATACAACATCATGTAAAATATGAAGAAGAGCCCTGAAAACAAAAATGAGAATAATAGCGTTTAACTTACAAATAAAATCTTTTTTGAATACTTACACACTAAACATTTCATCTCGTATTAAATTAACTGATGATAAAGCATCAGTTCATTGTGTTAATTTAGCTTCTTCAGTTGAATTTTGTACAAGACATCAAAGTATCATATTTATATTCATTAACCATCGATTTATAGTTTGACGATGGATATCCTAAAAATAAAATTTTAAACTACAGGAAAATTTCATAAATAAAAAATAACGAACATTTCCATTTGCTAATGTCCTCGAAAAACAACAACAAATGGATCAATTGGTCGTAATTCAACTAACGATACAACATTAAATAGTGTTAATTGTGTAGAATAAATATCCAAAAATGATTGATCCTATTTGAAAAAAAAGTAATGTAAAATCGGAGATTATTAAAAAAAAGAAAAATAATCTTAGATGAACCAATAGTAACATATGATTGTAAATGAACAAGAAGTACATCGATAGTTTGCTATGAAACACGTTTTCATTTATCATCTTCATTTCGAACACTATTAACAATCGTACTGTCTACCTATGATATCTGAAACCTTATAGAGAGACACCTTTTGTTCACAATCATTTAATAAAACTTTTTAGAAATTTTCATTTTTCATATAGCAACTATTTCTTATAATATCACATTACTTTATTATATCGAATACGTTTAAATAATGTTTGAATAATAACCATTCGTTGTGTTTCTAATTCTTAATTATTTGTTTTAAATCAAACTTTATTTTTCTCGAGAATGTTTTTTTTTGCTTCCTACCATGTGTTTCAGGTTCATGTTCACTTGCTAATAATATGAATCATAATGTTTTATTAAATCTTGTACTTTAATAATTTGATTTGAATGAAGTGTATCATGTGATAATAAATCATAACCTGCTATAGTTTCTTCAATTATTTCAAATTGATTGATTATATGAGTAAAAAAATACTATTTAAAAATAAACGAACCGATTAGAAATATAACAAACTTCATCAGCATCTGTATTGCACTATTTTCTATGGATTGATCACTACTGATACTTGATACATGACGTGAATCAAATAAATAAATCATTGATTGTCGAATAGTCATTGCATTAATATTAGTTGAAGTATTATTTAATGGTTTTTATGAAGAAACATTTGAAGATTTTGTTTCACCAGACGATGGTGAAATGATTGCTAGTTGATGAAAGTTTCATAAAAACTAAATTAAAAGAATATTTTCAAATTTCGAATTGATAATGTATCTTACAGATCGCTCACGAAAATTAGATGATTTAATATTCGGATTTCAAGCAAGAACCANGCAGATGGTGGAGCAATGTTAAATTTATTGAAGCAAAACTTAATTATTATTAATAGTAATAGAAAAATCAATAATTTCAGTACTAGGTCACTTTAACATAAAATGACAAAAGGAAACACGACTTGTATTTCAAACTTTTTATTATTCATAATTTGATGTCTATTGAATATAATTATGATATTCAAAATCAGCATGGAAGAGTACCCGAAAAATAAATAGTTCTCATTAAAATATGACCCGTACTTCCTTTCGTTTTTTGTCTCATATTGAATCTCCTACTACTCTACGGACCATTTTTTTATCAGAAATTGTTTCCCGTCGAATACTTATTTTAGTATGTTAATTTTGAGCGTCTTACTTGCTTTCTGTTGAAAGTAACTTTTTAGCAATTAAAATCAGAAAATATGGCCTGGTTTTCCTTAAAAGTGATGCTGTTCTAACCATTTCGATCTGTTTACGGATAGATAAGTATGTTCAAAGGCTACTATGATAATTTTATATCACTACAATAAATCGCATAGAAAAGAGCTTAATAGAGGCAGTATAGCCAATGGATAAAACGTGAGTTTCTTTATCGATGGTCGATAATAATATGTGAATATTTACACTGACTAACCTTGTTTGAGGTCAATCATAATGAACGTCCAGGTAAAAGTTGCATTTTTGACCCTCTTTCTCCCCAAGTGTGCATCTAGAGAGACAGCTGGCTAAAAATAAAGGCCGATCTTTTCAATGTTTAAATACGAAGAAATATAGATCGACATATAATCTATCGAATGGTATCAGTAACTTGTTACAACCCTCAAAGAAACTGAACAATCAGTTGCCCAACAATTATCCTGAAAATCATGATATCATCAGGAAACTTGATATCTGACAAAATTAAACTATTCGACAGACAAACAAACCGAGCACATTTTCTGAATCGCCAAGTCAAGCTCTATACAATGGTAAAAATATTTTTTAATTTGCATGTTTAATTTCTGAGAAAAAAAAGTATTTTTTTTCTACAGAGTCGTACGAAAGACTAGCCCTGTAATATGAACAATCTACTCACATCTAATCTCCAAACTATTCCAAATTCAGTCAGAATATTCTTCTATCTACTTTTTCTTATCTATCCTAATACAAATTAGTGCAAAAATTCTTGGACTGAACAACAGTATATTTGGAATTATCGTATTAAACTACATTGAATGATATATAATATAAACTTATTTTGAAACAAAAATAATTTTCTCAAAACAATGAAGACAAGAGTTGAGGGTGTGGGATGTGGATGTGAGTGTGGGTGTGCGTATTATTTATTACTCGAGCGAAGTCCAGACCCACACGCACGGCTTTAGAGAGGGTGTGAGTGTGTGGGGTGTGGGTGAGTGTGGCTGTGGGTGTGGGGTGGGGTGTGGGTGTGTAGGGTGTGGGTGGATGTGGCTTTGGGTGTGGGTGGATGTGGCTTTGGGTGTGGGTGTGGGTGAAAGATATCAATACCGGCAGCCACGCACCCCACCCACACCCATACCCTCTTTAAAGGCGTGCGTGTGGGTCTGGGCATCGCTCGAGAAATTAATAATATGCACACCCACACCTATCCAAACCGGTACCCACACTCATACCCCACACCCTCTCTTTTGAGTCGTTCTTTATGCGGTTTCCTCACCTTGTAAGAGGACAAGAAGGCATATACTGTCAACTCGCTTATCTTTTTTTATTGATAAGCTCGTATACTTTTATAACTATTCTTTTTCATTTTTAAAAGTTGGTGCTGTTGAGAAACTGGAATTTCATTTCGATCCTCACTATGGACCCTGCCAGCGCATTAGTACTTGTATTCAAACAGGCCGCCACTCTTCGTGCCATTAGCAAGAATGCCAAGATAAACAACAATCAATGCGAACGTAAGAGTCCTCAACAATTTTGAAGCGGGGCCTACCAAATCAATAGAACTAATTTCATGACAGAAAACGTAGACTTCCTAATAAGTCCGAACGTAAAACTTTTCAAAGAAGGTTTTCTATGGAGGTAAGAGACTTTTAAACCTTCTATTCGGTAAAATTCTTCAAAACTTGTTCATAGTAATTTTTATAATTTATATCACCATTTGTTCAAAACCTATGAATCATTTAATTGTAGGACAATATAGTCATCAGCGATAATACACACATGGATTCCTTCTCGGTTTTTTTGCCACTAGCTGTGTAGAAATGTGAAGGCGACACTTCGCCCTTAGTTCTTGCTCTCACTCACGGAAATTTTCTGTTACAACAGGCACATGAGTAGTCACAGAAGCACTTCATATATAGGTGAATTGCGCTTGTATTGTACGGTTGCGTGGTGAACTGTAAAACACTCCTATCTCAGCTTCTACTCAACGGACTTTGACAATTTTTTTTAAATACTCCTTATTGCCTAGCTCACTTACCATAAAAATATCAAGTCTTTAGACTGCTGTCGTTGTGGAGTTTTCAAGCAGAAAACGGGAATACCACGGCTTTTTTTGCGCCCCCTATCGACAAAAATCACTTTTCTATGCCATAACTTTGATTGAACAAAAAATAATTTTTTAGAGCTATTTTGCAGCTAAGACTTTCCTCTTTCTGACTATATAACTTAATTACAGTTTTGATTTCAATATACCTATGAAATCTTGCAAAAACTGCCTAGACGGACTAATGGACCATTTTATGTCACGACAGATTGAATTTAAGCTACTAAAGATAATTGAAAAGCAAACTCAAATTTTCTTTTTCTGTTCGATAGATTAAAGAGCAAGAAATCTTTTTCGATAAAAAGTTTTTTCCAAGGACCTTCAGGATCAAATAAAAAAATTAAAAATAAGAGGGAAAGGTAGCTGTTTTTCTACTAAATGTCACGACAGTTTTTTTATTTTCTTTCTTTGATATCTCGCTAACGATAAGAGATTGGCCAATGATATTTTATCTTTTAACTGACTATGTGGTAGATCTGTGGTAAAAATTTCAGTTGTTAAGAAAGTATCGTTTGCGACAAAACAGCACTTTTCTCAAAAAATGTCGCAACCGATTTTTTTCGGGTGGGTGTGGGTGTGGCTGCGTCCATGAGTGTGAGTGTGCGTGCGGGTGTGGGTGTGGGTTATGGGTGTGGGTGTTGGTGGGCTTTCGGTGTGGATGTCTGTGTGCGGGGGTGGTGTCAGTGTGTGAGTGTGGGTATTATGCCTCTGGATCCGTGGAGTGGTGGTTGATGCCGTTAGAGTTTCATCTTACAATAGTGACAGGTGTTGCCATGCAGGAACCCACATCCACACCACTCACATTCATACCTACACCCATCCACATCCGCACCCGCACCCACACCCACACCCACACCCATTTTTGAATACTTACACACTAAACATTTCATCTCGTATTAAATTAACTGATGATAAAGCATCATTTCATTGTGTTAATTTAGCTTCTTCAGTTGAATTTTGTACAAGACATCGAAGTATCATATTTATATTCATTAAACATCGATTTATAGTTTGACGATGGATATCCTAAAAATAAAATTTTAAACTACAGGAAAATTTCATAAATAAAAAATAACGAACATTTTCATTTGCTAATGTCCTCGAAAAACAACAACAAATGGATCAATTGGTCGTAATTCAACTAACGATACAACATTAAATAGTGTTAATTGTGTAGAATAAATATCCAAAAGCGATTGACCCTATTTGAAAAAACAGTAATGTAAAATCGGAGATTATTAAACAAAAGAAAAATAACCTTAGATGAACCAATAGTAACATATGATTGTAAATGAACAAGAAGTACATCGATAATTTGCCATGAAACACGTTTTCATTTATCATCTTCATTTCGAACACAATTAATAATCGTACAGTCTATCTATAATATCTGAAACCTTATAGAGAGACACCTTTTGTTCACAATCATTTAATAAAACTTTTTAGGAATTTTCATTTTTCGTATAGCAACTATTTCTTATAATATCACATTACTTTATTACATCGAATACGTTTAAATAATGTTTGAATAATAACCATTCGTTGTGTTTCTAATTCTTAATTATTTGTTTTAAATCAAACTTTATTTTTCTCGAGAATGTTTTTTTTGCTTCCTATCATGTGTTTCAGGTTCATGTTCACTTGCTAATAATATGAATCATAATGTTTTATTAAATCTTGTACTTTAATAATTTGTTGTGAATGAAGTGTATCATGTGATAATACATCATAATCTGCTATAGTTTCTTCAATCATTTCAAGTTGATTGATTAGATGAGTAAGAAAATACTATTTAAAAATAAACGAAACGATTAGAAATATAACAAACTTCATCAGCATCTAATAAACTATTATTAACACGAATTAAAAGTAATTGAACAAGTAAATCGAGTACAGCAGTTTTTGTTTATTTTACTCTCGTAGTGCACTATTTTCTTTGGATTGATCACTACTGATCATCGGTTGTCGAATAGTCATTGCATTAATATTAGTTGAAATATTATTTAATGGTTTTTATGAAGAAACATTTGAAGATTTTGTTTCAGTAGACGATGGTGAAATGATTGCTAGTTGATGATGGTTTAATAAAATCTAAATTAAAAGAATATTTTCAAATTTCGAATTGATAATGTATCTTACAGATCGCTCACGTAAATTAGATGATTTAATATTCGGATTTCAAGCTAGAACTAAATCAAAAGATTTGATACTTTCACAATAAACCACTCTCATTCAGACCGTTGATATTCGCAAAACCAGTTTTTCTGCTACTGTGACATTTTTATATTGAAATTTTCTTTACAATAAATATTTTGCTATTTAAAAGAAGTTATCTTCTTCTGTGTGCATTGAATAGCTTTTATTTTATCAACATTGAATGTTGATTTAAGATAATAAACTCTTTCTTCCAAATTTTTTGATAAATCTTATGTAGAAATAAGACTGAAAACAAATNAATCGGATGCAAGAGAAACTAATATCATATTCATTTGACCGCGTAATTGTCGAGTATTAGTTAAAATTTGTAATACAACATCATGTAAAATATGAAGAAGAGCTCTGAAAACAAAAGTGAGACTAATAGTTTTTAAGTTACAAATAAAATCATTTTGAATACTTACACACTAAACATTTCATCTCGTGTTAAATTAACTGATGAGAAAGCATCATTCCATTGTGTTAATTTAGCTTCTTCAGTTGAATTTTGTACAAGACATCAAAGTATCATATTTATATTCATTAACCATTGATTTATAGTTTGATGATTGATATCCTAAAAAACAAAATTTTAAACTACAGGAAAATTTCATAAATAAAAAATAACGAACATTTCCATTTGCTCATGTCCTCGAAAAACAACAATAAATGGATCAATTGGTCGTAATTCAACTAACGATACACCATTAAAAAGTGTTAATTGTGTAGAATAAATATCAAAAAGTGATTGACCCTATTTGAAAAAACAGTAATGTAAAATCGGAGATTATTAAAAAAAGAAAAATAACCTTAGATGAACCAATAGTAACATATGATTGTAAATGAACAAGAAGTACATCGATAGTTTGCCATGAAACACGTTTTCATTTATCATCTTCATTTCGAACACTATTAACAATCGTACAGTCTACCTATGATATCTGAAACCTTGTAGAGAGACACCTTTTGTTCATAATCATTTAATAAAACTTTTTAGGAATTTTCATTTTTCGTATAGCAACTATTTCTTATAATATCACATTACTTTATTATATCGAATACATTTAAATAATGTTTGAATAATTACCATTTGTTGTGTTTCTAATTCTTAATTATTTGTTTTAAATCAAACTTTATTTTTCTCGAGAATGTTTTTTTTGCTTCCTCCCATGTGTTTCAGGTTCATGTTCACTTGCTAATAATATGAATCGTAATGTTTCATTAAATCTTGTACTTTAATAATTTGTTTTGAATGAAGTGTATCATGTGATAATACATCATAATCTGCTATAGTTTCTTCAATCATTTCAAGTTGATTGATTATATGAGTAAGAAAATACTATTTAAAAATAAACGAAACGATTAGAAATATAACGAACTTCATCAGTATCTAATAAACTATTATTAACACGAATTAAAAGTAATTGAACTAGTAAATCGAGTACAGCAGTTTTTGTTTATTTTACTATCGTATTGCAGTACTTTCTTTCGATTGATCACTATTGATACTTGATACATGACATGAATCAAATAAATAAATCATCAGTTGTCGAATAGTCATTGCATTAATATTAGTTGAAGTATTATTTAATGGTTCTTATGAAGAAGCATTTGAAGATTTTGTTTCAGCAGAAGATGGTGAAATGATTGCTAGTTGATGAAGGTTTAATAAAACCTAAATTAAAGAATATTTTCAAATTTCGAATTGATAGTGTATCTTGCAGATCGCTCACGTAGATTAGATAATTTAATATTCGGATTTCAAGATAGAACCAATTCAAAAGATCTGACACTTTCACAATAAACTACTCTCATTACGACTGTCGACATTTTTATATAGAAATTTTCTTTCTCTAGGTTAGACCCTGCCAGAAATCTTAATTATAAGATTTCTATCTAAAGTTTTGCTCGTAAACATGTGTCAGATCTAATAGAATAGTCTAAATATTTTAGCTCAATCAAAGAATAAAAAATATCAATAATTGAATTTTTCATTACAATAAATATTTACTATTTAAAAGCAGTTACCTTCTGTGTGCATTGAATGTTGATTCCATATGTTTTGATAAATCTTGTGTAGAATTAAGACTTAAAACTGATTTCATAGACATTAATGTTGTTGAAAATAAATGTTCAAAACGATCATTTTCCGATGAATTTCATCATTGATGGATTANAACACTATTAGCAATAACTGTTAACAATCGTAAAGCCTATCTATGATGTCCGAAACCTTATAGAGAGACACCTTTTGTTCACAATCATTTAATAAAACTTTTTAGGAATTTTCATTTTTCGTATAGCAACTATTTCTTATAATATCACATTACTTTATTATATCGAATACATTTAAATAATGTTTGAATAATAACCATTCGTTGTGCGTCTAATTCTTAATTATTTGTTTTAAATCAAACTTTATTTTTCTCGAAAATGTTTTTTTTTGCTTCCTATCATGTGTTTCAGGTCCATGTTTACTTGCTAATAATGAATCATAATGTTTTATTAAATCTTGTACTTTAATAATTTGCTTTGAATGAAATGTATCATGTGATAATAGATCATAACCTGCTATAGTTTCTTCAATCATTTCAAGTTGATTGATTAGATGAGTAAGAAAATGCTATTTAAAAATAAACGAAACGATTAGAAATATAACGAACTTCATCAGCATCTAATAAACTATTATTAACACGAATTAAAAGTAATTGAACAAGTAAATCGAGTATAGCAGTTTTTGTTTATTTTACTCTCGTATTGCAGTACTTTCTTTGGAATGATCACTGTTGATACTTGATACATGACGTGAATCAAATAAATAAATCATTGATTGTCGAATAGTCATTGCATTAATATTAGTTGAAATATTATTTAATGGTTCTTATGAAGAAACATTTGAAGGTTTTGTTTCAGCAGACGATGGTGAAATGATTGCTAGTTGATGAAGGTTTCATAAAACCTAAATTAAAAGAATATTTTCAAATTTCGAATTGATAATGTATCTTACAGATCGCTCACGTAAATTAGATGATTTAATATTCGGATTTCAAGCTAGAACCAAATCAAAAGATTTGATACTTTCACAATAAACCACTCTCATTCAGACCGTTGATATTCGCAAAATCAGTTTTTCTGTTACTGTGACATTTTTATATTGAAATTTTCTTTACAATAAATATTTACTATTTAAAAGAAGTTACCTTCTTCTGTGTGCATTGAATAGCTTTTATTTTATCAACATTGAATGTTGATTTAAGATAATAAACTCTTTCTTCCAAATTTTTTGATAAATCTTATGTAGAAATAAGACTGAAAACAAATNAATGTCAAAAAAATGACCATATATAATAACTTCCAACAAGAATTAAAAATTTAAATTTAGAGTTGAAAACTCGATTTTTTTCCAAAATGTAGCCCGTTCTTTGCTGAATACAGCCATGTAATTAGAAATGCTCCATCATTTCTTGGTTTCCCAGAAAATAGCTTTCTTGTTGACCAATGGGTCCAAAAACCATGGTTTTCTAGAAAACGTACTTCTGAGCATTTTGGACAAAAGTGTCCGCTAGACAAAAGAAAGAGCATGGTCTAAAACCCTTAAGTTCCAGATGGCATCAGAATCAGATGCACCCTTATCGAGTTAGTTTTTTCATGTAACACGCCTATTGTCGAGTATTAGTTAAAATTTGTAATACAACATCATGTAAATTATGAAGAAGAGCTCTGAAAACAAAAATGAGAATAATAGTTTTTAAGTTACAAATAAAATCATTTTGAATACTTACACACTAAACATTTCATCTTATGTTAAATTAACTGATGATATAACATCATTCCATTGTGTTAATTTAGCGTTTTCAGTTGAATTTTGTACAAGACATCGAAGTATCATAGTTATATTCATTAACCATCGATTTATAGTTTGACGATGGATATCATAAACAAAATTTTAAACCACAGGAAAATTTCATAAATAAAAAATAACGAACATTTCTATTTGCTAATGTCCTCGAAAAGCAACAACAAATGGATCAATTGGTCGTAATTCAACTAACGATACAACATTAAATAGTGTTAATTGCAGGAAATGAATATCCAAAAGTGATTGACCCTATCTGAAAAACAAATAACGTAAAATCGAAGATTATTAAAAAAGAAAAATAATCTAAGATGAACCAATAGTAACATATGGTTATAAACGCACAAGAAGCACATCGACAATATGTCGTGAAAGACGTTTCCATTGATCACCTTTGTTAGGATGATGTCGCACGTCACCATGATCTCTCTCCTTAATGTTATCCTTTTCTCTATTTCTTCTCTCGTCGATCTTTATTGGTGTTTTCCTTTTCTATACGTATATGTGATATATGATTATTCATTCTTCTCTTTTCTATAATAAAGTTAGTGCGAGTACATCAGCACATACATCACCATTTAAAATAACTAAATATAAGAAGAGAAACTCTAGCAATTGGCGACCCTGGCAGGATGCGGTTGTTTATGAACTGAATGAATGGCTTGACAAACGATCAACAATTTCATATTTTAATATCGGATTAGATCCACAATTATTTCAACTGAATTTTAAAGAACAACAAGATCGTCAAAATTTTACTATTTATGCCGCCAATGACTGTTTATCTATGCAACGTTTACTTATGAAAATGCAAATCATTACAATAACACCTACAACGACAACAATTACAAATAAATTTAATGTCAATCTTGATGATATTGAACCAATATCATCTGATGATGAACAACCTGAATCTGAACAACAACCTCAACCACAACAACAATCACGACATATTGCATTAACAAACACAAATAGAATTACTTATGAAAATCAACAACCTGAACAACTAACTATCGAACAACGAAAACAAGCTCATAATCGAACTTGTACATTAAAACAAAGAAAAAGATTATATAAACATGAAATTATAAGAAGAGGAATCGATCGATGATTTACAATAACACAAATCAAGCAGATTCTTCGTCAACATTCTATTCATTTTTCTGTTATTAATGTATCAACATCATCTGTAACTAATCGAACATCGTTATACATTGGTATAAAAAACCCACAATTATTATATGAATATGAACATAAAACAAAAAATTTATTCTCTACTGATCATTTTAATGAATTTCGTTCACAACAACATCAACTCAATTCTACTGGTCAACATTCTCATCATAAACGACATAAATAAATAAAAACATATATCAATATTTTAATCGATTAAGGTACAAATAAAATTGTTTCAGATCATCTTATCAGATGATCGTTCTTATTTACCACCATCATTGCTAAATAACTACACACAAGATGAATATTCTTTTTTCAAATAATTGTTTACATTTATCTTAAACTGAATCACAACTAAAAACAAAAAGAAAAAAAAGCAAAAGAAACAATTTACGCAAGTCAAATACAACATGCCTATCGATTATATATTTTTTTTAATGATCAGTTACACATGTAATCTCATCCTTTTATAGTTGTTATTTTTTTGTATTTCTATATCGTTAACTGTTGTTACCTGTGAAAATCGTTATATTTTCTGAACTATTAACCATTTGAAAATCGTTATTTTTTTCTCTTTCGTTTTGTTATATTATATTTGAACTTTTCGTTTAATACTGTTTTGAATTTCTACTTGTTGAAAAAGAAAAAAAGGTTTTCCCTATACATGAACTGTTCGTTATTTTCTTTTCTTCTGATTATGTTGTTCATCTCTTCTTTTCTCGTTATATCTATTATCAATCATTTGAAAAATGTTGATGGGACACATTTTTTTGCCCTATAGAGGAGTATGTTAGGGTGATGTCGCACGTCACTATGATCTCTCTCCTTAATGTTATCCTTTCCTCTATTTCTTCTCTTGTCGATCTTTATTGGTGTTTTCCTTTTCTATACGTATATGTGATATATGATTATTCATTCTTCTCTTTTCTATAATAAAGTTAGTGCGAGTACATCAGCACATACATCACCATTTAAAATAACTAAATATAAGAAGAGAAACTCTAACAACCTTCATTTCGAACACTATTAACAATAACTGTTAACAATCGTAAAGCCTATCTATGATATCTGAAACCTTATAGAGAGACACCTTTTGTTCACAATCATTTAATAAAACATTTTAGGAATTTTCATTTTTCGTATAGCAACTATTTCCAATAATATCACATTACTTTATTATATCGAATAAATAACCATTCGTTGTGCTTCTAATTCTTTATTGTCTGTTTTAAATCAAACAAGAAATAAATTATATACAACTGGTTCTAATGCTGCTAAAGCTAAATACAGAATTTTAATGATAATTTATTTTTCTCGAAAATGTTCTTTTTTGCTTTCTCCCATGTGTTTCAGGTTCATGTTCGCTTGCTAATAATATGAATCATAATGTTTTATTAAATCTTGTACTTTAATAACTTGTTTTGAATGAAGTATATCAGGTGATAATGCATCATAATCTGCTATAGTTTCTTCAATCATTTCAAGTTGATTGATTAGATGAGTAAGAAAATTCTATTTAAAAATAAACGAAACAATTAGAAATATAACGAACTTCATCAGCATCTAATAAACTATTATTAACACGAATTAAAAGTAATTGAACAAGTAAATCGATTACAGCAGTTTTTGTTTATTTTACTCTCGTATTGCACTATTTTCTTTGGATTGATCACTATTGATACTTGATACATGACGTGAATCAAATAAATAAATCATCAGTTGTCGAATAGTCATTGCATTAATATTAGTTGATGTATTATTTAATGGTGCTAATGAAGAAACATTTGAAGATTTTGTTTCAGCAGAAGATGGTGAAATGATTGCTAGTTGATGAAGGTTTAATAAAACCTAAATTAAAAGAATATTTTCAAATTTCGAATTGATAGTGTATCTTGCAGATCGCTCACGTAAATTAGATGATTTAATATTCGGATTTCAAGATAGAACCAATTCAAAAGATCTGATACTTTCACAATAAACTACTCTCATTACGACTGTCGACACTTTTATATAGAAATTTTCTTTCTCTAGGTTAGACCCTGCCAAAAATCTTAATTATAAGATTTCTATCTAAAGTTTTGCCCGTAAACATGTGTCAGATCTAATAGAATATTCTAAAGATTTTAGCTCAATTAATGAATAAAAAATATCAATAATTGAATTTTTCATTACAATAAATATTTACTATTTAAAAGAAGTTACCTTCTGTGTGCATTGAATGCTGATTCCAAATGTTTTGATAAATCTTGTGTAGAAATAAGACTTAAAACTGATTTCATAGACATTAATGTTGTTGAAAATAAATGTTCAAAACGATCATTNATTCAACTAATGAGACAACATTAAATAGTGTTAATTGCAGGAAATGAATATTCAAAAGTGATTGATCCTATTTGAAAAAACAGTAATGTAAAATCGGAGATTTTTAAAAAAAGAAAAATAACCTTAGATAAACCAATAGTAATATATGATCGTAAATGAACAAGAAGTACATTGATAATTTGCCATGAAACACGTTTTCATTCATCATCTTCATTTCGAACACTATTAACAATCGTACAGTCTATCTCGGATATCTGAAACCTTATAGAGAGACATCTTTTGTTCACAATAATTTAATAAAAACTTTTAGGAATTTTCATTTTTCGTATAGCAACTATTTCTATTTAATATCACATTACTTTATTATATCGAATACATTTAAATAATGTTTGAATAATAACCATTCGTTGTGCTTCTAATTCTTAATTATTTATTTTAAATCAAACTTTATTTTTCTCGAGAATTTTTTTTTGCTTCCTCCCATGTGTTTCAGGTTCATGTTCACTTACAAATAATATGAATCATAATGTTTTATTAAATCTTGTACTTTAATAATTTGTTGTGAATGAAGTGTATCATGTGATAATACGTCATAACCTTCTATAGTTTCTTCAATTATTTCAAGCTGATTGATTAGATGAGTAAGAAAATACTATTTAAAAATAAACGAGACGATTAGCAATATAACGAACTTCATCAGCATCTGTATTGCACTATTTTCTTTGGATTGATCACTATTGATACTTGATACATGACGTGAATCAAATAAATAAATCATCAGTTGTCGAATAGCCATTGGATTAATATTAGTTGAAGTATTATTTAATGGTTTTTATGAAGAAACATTTGAAGATTTTGTTTCACCAGACGATGGTGAAATGATTGCTAATTGATGAAGGTTTAATAAAACCTAAATTAAAAGAATATTTTCAAATTTCGAATTGATAGTGTATCTTGCAGATCGCTCACATAAATTAGATGATTTAATATTCGGATTTCAAGATAGAACTAATTCAAAAGATCTGACACTTCCACAATAAACCACTCTCATTACGACTGTCGACATTTTTATATAGAAATTTTCTTTCTCTAGGTTAGGCCCTGCCAGAAATCTTAATTATAAGATTTCTATCTAAAGTTTTGCCCGTAAACATGTGTCGGATCTAATAGAATATTCTAAAGACTTTAGCTCAATCAATGAATAAAAAATATCAATAATTGAATTTTTCATTACAATAAATATTTACTATTTAAAAGAAGTTACCTTCTGTGTGCATTGAATGCTGATTCCAAATGTTTCCATAAATCTTGTGTAGAAATAAGACTTAAAACTGATTTCATAGACATTAATGTTGTTGAAAATAAATGTTCAAAACGATCATTTTCCGATGAATTTCATCATTGATGGATTATTTCCATAAATACCAAATTGTGTACCATTAAGTCTTTTTTTTTAAATCTTTGTCTGTATTTGATGTTATTAATGAATCTTTACTGGATGTCATTGAATTTGTATTATTAATATTATTTGGATCTTTTCCATTTTCTTTAAAAATAAAAAAAAACAAACGAATTCGTTCAGATAAAACATGATCAAATATGTACATTCT